TAGTATTCATTTCATCTTTAAACTTCGTTTTCGTATGCAGTCCTGTGCATTTCTTGTGAGGGATTTCTACATTTTCAAAATGGTTTGAGCGTTGGTGAAGGATTCTGTGTTTTTTTGGTAACATTGGTGGGTATTGGAACATCTGTTTTTTTTGTTGTGTGCAGGGGTTTAATTCCTCTCTTGGCGGAAGGTTCAGCAAGATCTACTGATTCGGAATCAACAGAAGTTATTCTGAATGCGGCCATCAAATACGCACTGAGGCGGAGGCTCTGTTTAGTGGGTGACTCGATCGTTGCGCTTCATCGCATTGGTGTCGGAAACGTTATCAAGATCATGGAAGTGAAGGATGTTAAGTATTACGCCAGGATGTCAACTATTCATAGATAGATTCCGTAATGAGGTATGGTGTATGTATGTTCATTTCGACATTCTCTGTTTTGGACGGGGAGTGTTACTTTTCTTTTGACAAATCATTCCCCTTGGTTTGGTAGGGGCAGGAGGGCAGTAGTACCTTCGATAAATAAACATAACGGTAATTTTAGGTTGTCACGACTCATGAACTTTGCATGCTAACCGATGGTGCCTCCCTCTAGAGGTGGTATCTAATATCTTTGTGACTTTCACGTAGTCGCTGCTGTATAATTCTTACCTCCGAATGACCTGGTCCATTGCCATCGGTTGAATCGCATCCTTGAAGACTTGGGGTCTGGTTACTTCGAACTGACTGAGATTATTACCACACCTTCGACGTTTCTAGGGACGTAAAACCCGAGGATGAAGAAAGTCTCAGATCTTTGTAATCGGACATCGCCAGATCCCAATTGTGTTCTGAATATTGAAGATTGTTCCTTAGCATCACACGCTTTGGAATTCAAGTATCTGCACCTAAGTTAGTCCAAGCATCTACATGTGGCCTCACACAGCGAGAGTTGTCCCCACCACCAAATACCAGGCCAGAGAATGAAAGAGCATCATGCAGCAAGGGAGTGAAGGAGATTAAAAGTAGCCTCTACAATCCTATATAAGAATATCTTTAATAGGTGCAATGCAAGATGCTCTGTTAGTTTTAATAATAATTATATGGCTTATAGGAGTTGGATCCTTTACATTGATTTACAGTGCCATTTTATAAGTTGATTGAAGTGTGAGATTGTTAATCATACTTCTGCGTACAAAAATATTGCTTTGGTTGGTCGAAACAACTTTAGTCTGGTGTTGTGGTGTTGTGAGTGTCATCATTCGAAGAAGATCCTAGGTTGGTCAAAGAAATCAGTTGATTTGTAATCTAGCGATTTAAGATTTGTTTCAACTACAATGATAGTTTGCTGTAGATTGGCCAGGTGTTCAACTTTTAATCTTTAGAAGTTTAAAGATTAGATTACATTGACATTTAATTATTTTCTATTGTGCATTTGATTAAGTTCTAACTCTTAATTGAAATAAGTATGTCTCTAATATTGTAGAGCAAAGCATCTACAATATTGGAGACATACTTATTTCAATTAAGAGTTAGAACTTAATCAATTGTAGATGCTTTGCTCTCATTCTTTGACTGTTCATTTTATGTTGATTGTTTTCAATTTCAAAGTGTTATTGTTATTATGTCTCAAGCTACTCATTACTCTTATAAAATCCACAATATCTAATAGAGTAATTTTTTCTCTTCTTCTAATTCCAATTCTTTGTAGTGGGTGCCTTTTGTAGTAGGAGTTACTTAAGAAAGCTTAAAGGTAGGCATTCTTTTACAACATGTGTAATATTCCAACAACAATAATATCTAGTAGACAAAAATCTAAAATCAATCAACATTTGTTTTGGTTTGATTTTTTGGTTTCTTTGTAATGGATATTATAACTCTAATTAATGAGCTTTAATTATTTTTTAATTGATGGCAATAAAAGAGTAGAAATAAAAACTACCCAAGTTTTTTTTTTCTTCTTTTAGAGAGGTTCTAAGGTTGTTTTTTAAAAATTTGCTTGCTAATTTTTTAAAAGTATTTAGATTTGTTTTTATAATTACAATCTATGTTAGAAGGCACATGTGTTGTTGTTTCTTTGCAAGGAAAATAGAATTTATATTTGTATTTTATTCTTAAAGTGCACAAATACCATAGGTGCTTTATAGCTTCTTTGCAATCTTAACACATAATTTTTATAAAAAAAAGTATCTTAAATTGGGATTCTTTTAATAATATAAGCATAAATTATTTTTGTTTAGAAGTAAAGAAACCGTTGTTTAAAGATAGGTTGAAGAGATTTGCCTTTTATAAATTTGGCAATCTTAACAAACTTACCAAAATAGTTTATTTTATGAATAATTTTATTAGTGTTAACTCGAATAGGATAATTTAGACTGTGATTTACTAAATTTCCATAGATCTTAGATTATTCCAAGAGGATGACCTTTCTTTTGCTTGCTTTATTAGGATCAATTTCCTTTAGCATTTGTCCACTACAATGTCTTTTATAATTGTATCTTCTCTTTTAGATGGATTGATTTGGTCTTCTTTGCTACTTCTTTGTAGAATGTTAAGTTGAATATGTGACAATTTAAGCATTGTCTTATTTAATAGATGTATACTATTTGTCATTAGATCCACATATGGTATGCCATTTATTTTAAATACTAAACTTATAAAACTTTACAAAAATTAAAATCCTAATTGAAAGCAATTATAGTTAAAATGATAATTAAAATTTGTTGCTTTTTATGCTAAAATTACAAAACATAAGAAGTGGACTCAATAATAAAAATATTACAACTAAACAATAATTCTAGGGTGGTTTGTTCTTTTTCTAACAACCTAAGAAAAACCTATTTCATTGTCTTTCTTATTGATCTATGTGGATATACATATATGTAAACTTATATATATATATATATATATATGCATAGAATTCTTGCCTTTTAATGCCTATAATTGAATTTAATGGCAACTTTGTATTATCATAAATGACTCCTAAATCCTTATATATATATATATATATATATATACATGTTTGGATGGGATATGACAAATAGTTCTTTTTGTCAATGTCTGAAAATCTACACTTGTAAATTGGGAAGATTTGGGGTTGTACATTTCTGTGCATGCGTAATCCTTCCTGACGTTTGTTTTCTGGATCGTCCAAGCTCTGCAGAGTAGGTTCAGTTACATTCCAGGACGTGGTCTTGAGCATCTTTTGAGCAGCGATCGCGCGTCCTTTTCGTAATTAGACGTGAGAGTGTAATGAGTGCAAATAGCTGATAGTCTCCTGATTTGTATAACCCACATTTTCTACAGCTTTAGAGAGACCTGAACAAGAGGATAATTAGCACATTAATTAATTAGTTCATGGTGCTTCAGTACAGGTAGCAATTTCCATGCAACAAATGGGTTTACAACTGTAGATTTCAGCTTTACCAAACTCCGACCGAAATTGAGTCCAGAACATGTTCTTAATAGCTCTATCATGGATCTGGCAGGATACATTTGCACCCTCTTACAGTTCCGTTTGCTGATGGTGCAGTTGTTTTGGTTGTTGAAGAATATTTCAATTGTGGTTCTTTTTTCATTGACGTCACCAATCTAGCAATGGACTAGTTACCTTATTTTAACATGAAGTAAAACCCACCTATGCTCGCTGAACCTTTTAACATTGCACGTGTAGCAAATTCTGTTCCAGTGCTGCGGCATCCACAAAATTGACAGTGTCTTGCTCTAGGAAGATTTTACTGATTCTAGAGAATCTAACGCACATATTATATGAAACAGTTGATTCAATTCCCGTTTTCTCTTGAAATCTTTCGAGTTGAAGAGGATGTCACGTTTCTTTGCACAAGCTGTTTGCTTTGCAGATTTACACGCAGGTGAAAGAGCGGTGTCAGGGGAATCATTGTGTGTCCCACAAGTCACGTCGGTGGACTGAGTTGCAAAAGAGGAAGTTTTCTGCAGTTTCTGTGTTTGAAGGGCAGAAATATAATTGTCTGCGTGGACCACCGTCTTGTGTACATGTACATGTAGACCTTAGGATGCATTCCTTGATCGACGTAGCAATTGTGAGCGCAAGAAATATACGCCGGTGGGAGTTATTAAAACTTAAGGAATGAAGATGATATACTCAAACTGAAGTACTACGTTACGTATCGTCTTCTCTGAAAGATGGACTGTATTTGCTGGCCCCCTTCTATCACTGGCAGCCAGCAGATTTGGACGAGCATGACGAAGATCAGAATGCATGTCCTTTTCAAGTACGGTGCGCTTGCCTCATACCAGAAGTGGTGGATTCTAAGCAGGCTCAACGAACTAACCCATGCTGGTGGTTGCCACCAACTTTTCAAGTCTCCGCAAAATCATACTGTTCACTTCCTAAAAGAGCCTGATGCGCACTTGTAAGTAGATTAGTATCACAGTGGATTCCCCAACTCTTCTCAATTTCACAATCAATCAAGCTCAGGCTTCAAAAGCGGTCGGCAGGTCTTTCCCTGCGTCCCCAACATTCAGATGTCGCTTTTGCTTCTCGATTGGCTGCCGCTTCAGATCTCGTGCCCGTTGTTACACTCGGTGGGCACTCTCACTGCCACTTGGGAGCACTTAGAGGGTCCATATGTGGCACCTTTGCCCCCTCCCCCCCTCGAGTTAGATGCGCACACACGAACGTCTTCAATGATCTCAGTTTGTCTATCCCTGCAGCTACTGGCCTGTTTCAATCTACTGTTGTTGTGGGTAACGGAGACAATCGCACTGGAGGTATCTTCGTTTGGTGCATTATTTTTTTGGCAAAACCTGTCTTGACCTACTCTGTCTGTCAACCTCTCAGAACTAGGACTTGTAGATGTGTGACTCTTTGTACAGACGGTTCCTTGTCTGCAAGGTCAAAGAAAGAGGATCATTCTGAGTGGCGCTGGTTGAGGTCATTTGAGGCTTTTGCTAATGCTTTTCGGGTTGAGCGTTCAGTTTCGTTGTCTCAGAGCCTTTGTTGCCTTGAGTTATCGAGGTGAGCTTGCTTGTCGATCCGTTAGGTTCTTTGGTTCCGTACGTGTGTTTTATTTGAAGGCCTGCCTGACAAGCTCGTACTAGCAATCATTGAGTGCTGGTTTTATTTCCTCGCAGAGTTGTGTGGTGAAGAGATCCTGTGTGGGTAGGGAGAGACTGCGTATTTTTAGACTGATTGTCGTGATCTTCCTAAGTGTTCGTATTTTAGAAGGGTTTTGGATAATGGAAAACAGAAACACTGCACTTGGCGACGAATGTTAGCTCAGCACATGAGAGCCTTTGAAATTCCAATAGTAGGACGTCTGACTATATATAGACCTTGGACAAACTGTTTGAGGCGTGTCATCAATTACTCGAAAATAGTGGAATAGTAAGCCCTCGCTACAGTCTCAACTAGTGACCTCAGTCAGCTCATCGAAGGACTGTGGGAAGGTGTTCTGCCTTAGTAAATCAAGGACAAGTTAAGGCGGCTTCGAGAAGCTTGAAATTTGCAAGGATAATTTTTTTTCAAGAATGAATCGAACCACTTCGCACGTGTATACAGTTTTAAAGGTAGGACATCTATTTCTGCTACTTAGAAGGTTTATCTGAAGGTGGTCATCTACGCAGAGTTGGTGATCAATCGTGACAAAAAGAGGAAGACGAAGTGTGATCGTATGCCATGGCGGCTCACGCAGTGTTAGAAGTTCCCAAGATGATGAGAGCTGTCCAGTGTTCTAGCTATGGTGGAGATGCAGAAGGTTTGGAGGTGATTCTCGATGCTGATTTAGGTCTCTTTCAAATAAAGGAATTTTGTCCACTACTCAGTATCTCTGCTCTTCTGTTTCCCACCACTTCATCAAGGATGGGTACTTTCAAACATATCTTAATTATGACGCTGTCGATGTCATGTTGTAACGGTGCAGCATGTAGAGTTGCCAGTTCCCAAACCGGGTAGAGATGAGGTGCTTGTCAAGGTGGAAGCCTGCAGTATCAATCCCATCGATTGGAAAGTTCAGAAAGGCGCCATGAAGCCTGTTCTGCCCTACAAGTTTCCGCATGTACCAGGTAAGCCACTGAAAACCTTCAATTAAAGCGCAAAGCGTCTATGAAACAAGACATTATCCAAAACAAATCAGTACTATTCAGTTTTATGCCTACGTATGCATCCAAATGAGATCCCACTTAAGATGCATGACCATTTTTGACAAGACACGAGTAGTTTTGAAGCGTCCGTGTCATGACATGGTAATACCGGTGGCAAAAAGCTTTGGTTGATTCTCTTAGAGGGCTCTAGAAATTTATTATGAAAATAACTTACAGGGATTATTATACAAGGGTTATTTAGAAGACGTGCTTATTTGCTGCATTGCTTGAAATGGGTCTTGAGCAGGCTCAGACATTGCTGGGATGGTCATCAGCGTGGGTCCTGCTGTGACGACGTTCGTACCTGGTGACAAAGTTGTGAGCTGTTTAGGCAGGGTCTGATCTCTTTTTCCCTTCTCGCTAGCGCCAAAATTCAGTTGGCAGTTGGGTGCGCATAGATTTGGGGGTAACCCTCATTTATTTTCTCACTTGTGGATTTAATTGACGAACAATCTATGACAGTCTTCTGTTCAGAAAAATGTTTGGTGGTTTGATGCAGGCTGGTGGAGGTCTTGCTGAATATGCACTTGCTCCAATAAGCACTTCAATCAAACGGAGACATGATGTCACACCAATCCAGGGCACTGCTTTGTTGCTTAGTGGATTTGCTGCTCTTCAAAGTGTTCGCAACTCAGGGGGGATTGACATCGAAGGGATATCTGAGGTGTCTAAGAGTCTTCTCATTAGAGCCGCATCTGGTGGAGTTGGGACCTTGGCAGTGCAGGTACTATCTCTTCTAAAGTTCTAAGAGCTTGTTGTTCTTAAAGACCAAATCTTTGACCTGACATACCCATATTTTTAAACTAAATTTTTTTATCCCTTAAAACTAGTCTTGTTTTGGCCATACTCTTGTTGTGGTGCAGATTGCGAAACTAGGAGGTGCTCATGTAACAGTAACATGCAACCCCAAGAATTTCGACTTGCTCAAAAGCTTGGGGGCAGACGAAGTACTAGACTTCGAAGCCGCAGATGGAGGAGCTCCCCAGAGTTTCTCCGGCAAGAAGTATGATATCATTATCAACTGTGGTCCTCATCGGCCCTTTTCCCAATACAAGTCCCAGCTAATGCGGACTGGATACGTTATCGACTTAAACCCTTCGCCAAAAGGCTTCATGACAAGTGCCATCTGCACCTTCTCGTTGTCATAGCAGAAGTATTTCCCTTTCATGCACATACCCAATTGTTCCGACTTGTATCTTCTGTTCAATCTGTTCCATCAAAAGAAGATCAAGCCTGTAATTGACTCAACGTACCCGCTGACCAAAGCGCATGAGGCTTGGGCTAGATGTATGGAGGGAGTCGCCGTTGGGAAGATTGTGGTCACCTGCTGCGAACCCCTGCAGAGCTTACCAGGGCACCACAGTTCTCCCGTTGCAACTCCGAGGGCTTAGAGGAATTCGCTTTGTACACTGATGATTTCTAAATTCCCTGCCTATTTTGATTCTGAGCTCTTCTTTCTGTGTAGTTTCAGAATGATCCAGCCACCAACTCGTGTTGAAATGAGGTCATATTTGACGCGTTGATAAATAACTGACATACAATTGAAAAACCCCTGCGAAGTAATGTTCGTGATGGCGAGGCCTGGACTCATAATGAACCGATTGGAGGTAAATGATCAAGGTTGTTTTTTGGTTTAACGCGCGAGCTGTTATCCCTTTAAGATTCACAGCCTGGCTAACGAGTTTGGTTGCGTTTTTTGATCTGGCATTTGGGAATAGATCATGGCAGATGTAAGGCATCTTAAGGAGAGAGCGTGTGTTAAAAATGTGCATCGCCTTCTGAACGATTTCGTACAAACATGAGAAGCAAACTTTGGTTGTGTACATGTAGTGCATTATGAGCATAAATTTCGTATGGTTGCGAGTTTACACATGGCTGGTCGAATTATCTGAACTATGTATCACTCAGAGGTACTGACTTTTTAATGATTTTCCAGGTATCCTCCTCTCTGTATGGTTCTATTTACTCAGCACCTTACTCACTAGTTCCACTGTAGTTAATAACCTCATTAATTGGAAAATGGTGCTGGTAAAGTTTTACAGAAACGTAGGCCTGCATTCTGTATAACAGCAATTGTAATGGATAAAGGTGACACGTTTATAGGTGTCTGGCTACCTACCTTGAGCGGTGTCAATTCTGGAGCCTGACCAGTTAATGATCGCTGTAACAACTTCCCATTAAGTAGCATATTTTGGCTGTGGAGATCGTTCGCAGGAGCTGTAAGATGGTACTCCAATCGCTCACTTGATGGTGTAAAAATAGAAACTAAACCTTCAAATGTTTCTTTCATGTACTGTGTCACTGTTCGTGCTGTGAGCGAGACCTCCACCTCGTACGTGGTTGTGTTGCTTAAATTAATAAGCAAAACTGTAACTCCTCCCTGCTCAGTGTCATGATATCATCAGATAACCGAAGCCAAAACGGTTGAAACCAGATTAAGACTGGGAGACGTACATAATCACGATTCAGTTCGAGAATATTTTCAATTGTGTGTACTACCCCAAGATGGCACATCGTTTTGCTGCTGACATAAATTACATTAGATTGGGATTTTTCAAACACGTGTGCTAGTGATTTGAGTTTCAGGAAGTGAACCTGTGCATTGCTATCCCTTGTGCAATGAGCATAAACGCGTAGATGCGAAGCGTTGTCACCACTCTTGGCCATCAACACTTGCGTACCCATCAATCGATTCCAGAGAAGAGCACTGCATTCAAATCAGGTTGTCTTAGTTAAATGTCAGATGAGACACATACTTCCCACACACAATGCTAGATTTAACGCTGATATCAAAAGTCACGAATGTACTAACTCTATGAGTTTGAAGTCAATGTTGAAGGATTTGAGAGAATTGCAAGGATGTACTCAAAAAGTGCAGCAGAAATTTGTAATTATATTAAATGATTTTAAATGGCATTGGAGCCAGAACGTTACCTGAAATAATCAGGATTCGGTTGATACGTTTTGTTGAGAAGACCGTAATTCCCACCAATAAAACTTTGGCGGCAGTAGACCTTATTGTTCAATGATGCAGCCATCCCCAACTGGTCCAAATACCTGCTTGTACGTCTTTAATAGCAGTAAATTTTGGCTAACATATTCCATCCTTTAAGAAGCGATTTTTTTTTTTTTTTCCTTTTCAAATCTCGGATGTATCAAACACACTAGTCCAGAAACATGGTGTCCACGCAAATTGTTTAGAATTGAAAGTAGATGTGCAATTACCAAAAACTGAACGCAAATGCATCCGTCACAAGATGGCGACCGCTGTTATAGGCTCCCCCTGCTTCCCCAATCCATGCCCCAGTCGATGGAGCCACTCGTTGCAGCAATTCGTTCACCGAACCAAACGTTCTCTTCTCGCCATCTAAGTATTGAGGGTTCAATATTTTTTCCACCAGATCTTGGCTAACACCTGCATCAGAACACATAAATTTTAAACAATTATTTCCTTAGTAAGTCAGCTGGATTTCAAAGAATTTTTGAATTTTAGCCAGAAGAGATCATCAACCTGGGCCTAGGTTATAGATATGCCGTGTGGTGAAATTGACAGATCCTGGCCCAGCAGCCTTCAGAAACGCCTCCCACCACGAATAGTCAAAAAATCCATCTGGTGCTATCACCAGTGGCTTCGCAGTATTTGCATGAAGCACGGCTACAATGTCTCTGAGCTTTGTCACGTCTTCAGCATATTGGAGTGCTGGGACACTAGTGCGCACCCCGCTCCCACTTAGCTCATTACCTTGATCACCAACTCCAATCAATCTCGTCGGAAGAATTCAAGACACTTTTACATGTTTGCCGCTCGGCATCTACTCCAACACATGAAATTCCTCGTCCAAAGTGGAACATCAACCAGAGGTACTCACCGAGCTGCCAAGCGTCTACTTGAAATCCTTGGGCGATGGTGTACTGGATGAAGTCGTGGGCATTAGAAGGGTCCCAAGGCCCCCAAGCGCCTGATGCTAATTTGGGGCGGTTGTAGAGGGCGTTCAGTCCGAACGCTACCTTGGTGCTGGACAAAAGTTGTCCCAGTTCACTCACATTGTTCAACAGAATGTTAACTCCGACAGGTTCCTAGGGTTTCTTCACTGTTGGAAATAATTTGGAAACGATGCACATAAACACAGTTGTTTCCGGTAGGAATTCGTATGTCAACTTCGTAGGGTTAGATCTTCCTATCTTCTCATCAATGTTTTTCAGGCTGATCAAATTGTTTCCTCTTTGAATATCTCCTCAAACCACACATTCGTAATACTTACAGGGGTTTCCTTCTACTGTGTGCTAATCGTGAAACTCCATGGATGATTAGATTTTGGGATGTTTACGGCAACAGTGTTCGAAGATTCATCATAAGGTGTGGAGGCTGCGCGCATACCTTGTTTTGTTGAACAGAGTGAGTAGCGCCGTCCAGCGTTCCATACTGAGACAGCCCCCTTGGAAGTTGAACATGTGAGAGGCATTGTATTCGAAAGGGCGGCACTCCACTTGTAGGTCGCCTATGTCATACACCACTTGGTCTTGCAGACTTCCTCCCAGGCGTATTCGCAGAGGTGACAAATCTCGAAGAGCTACTTCAAACAAATGATTAGAAAGGTCCTGCACAATTATCGTTTGCGTCGAATTGCAACATTGGTCAGCTACATCCAACAATCTAAAAAATACATTGATAGCAATTACGATTGCTTATCCATCATGTTCACGGGATAACAAAAAATTTAGCGAGCGAGAGTGAGGGAATTTTACCACGTTGAGCAAGGAAGTGTTCCCCCATGCGCAAGTTCCGTAGTCGCATTTCTCAGGCGGCCACCAGTCCAGGGTAGCACAAAGAAAGTGCTCATCTACGGTAGCCACTGCAGCACTACTATTCACCTCCACCTTCACCGATACTACATTATCATTACAGACCAAACTTCCATGACAAGGGTTTTCATAACGGATCCCCACAAGGAGTGTCACTACCAAGTGCAGCAAAGAAACGATGAGCGGAATTAGCAGAATTTTCATTTTTGTGCACGTATCGAATCTATCAGCATCCCGGAGAACAATCCTCAAAGCCGACAAAGCAGGATTCAAGAACCACAGCATGCATTACTTAACACTAACTTCTCACCTAAAAAACGTCCCTTTCAATTGTTGGGTGGTCGCTCAATAATGTAGTCTTCCAGGAAAAGGAACTTTTGGCTTCGAAAGCACTTCACAGGAGATATCTTTTATTGATTTCTACTGCAACGCGAGCTCGATTGTCCCAACTTCCAAGCAAACCACATACTAATGATTCCATGTTTATGCTGCAGAAATGAACGCCGTCAGACATGCCTGGATTGCACCCTGGGTAAGAATCATGCTTGAACTGAGCTTGGGATCTTTACTTCGATCAAAAGCAATATTCCAAGGAATGCTTCAACGCAGAGGAAGTACAAATTGTCTCTACGTATTACAGACGGTACTCACACTGTCATGTACAATATACAAAGTGCAGGTGAGAAGTCACCTCAATTACTAACGCCGAACAACCTAACGTCAGGCTTCCTCACACAAGAAATGGAAATCCGCGGTCGGCGTCACATTTAACTCTCACTTGTGTCAAATGTAGGAAAGTAGAAAATAGCGTAATGATCACGAAGAATATCGATCTCAAAGGTTCATGACGGCGTCCAGTTCTGATTTCCAGCTAGAATGTTCTGGTGCCACAGTTACGTGCGAGCTCGGTGTCATAGGAATACCAGCACTTGTCTGTACTAAGAATCATATTCCTCACGCTCATAGGGAATGATCGCACCCAAATGTTCTGCGTATTGCTCTGCTACGATGGAGTCTTTGACAGAAAAGCACATTGCGTATTCAGTTATCGATCTTGGGATCGGCGCCATCGTTTCATTTTTCTATTAACGCTTTGATTTGGTGCTGTCTCATGATCTTTCTCCCACTTAATCTGTCTTTGGTTCTGTGGGTGCGGAAGGGAAATCTTGACACGCTGGGACTACGAGTTTGAAGATTTACTCGCGGTCGGCATATTGCAAGTTTCTACGAAATCATGTCTAACGAGACTATTGGGGACATACGTCGGCTGCTTTTAAGGTAAGGATTGCACCCTCACACCTGCAGGTTTGCACGTATCTGTACCAAAGTATGGATTCGTGCACCTTTCAAAACAATAGGACCATTTGTATGATTCACTCCTATGAATAGATAATTAACTCTGTGAACCCAATCGTGAACTACTGCTATCAAGCACATCAATGATATTGCGGACAAGACGAAGATCTCACAATTCTGACGTGCGAACCACGAGGAACTTTAGTAACAGAAGTGGAATCAGGAAGAGTGTTGACTGAAATAAAGCGCAAGAGGAGAAACTGCAAAGCAGCTTAATTCTTCACGGAATTCAGATGTGGACTGGTAAAGAATCTCGAGCTTGCGTGTAGGAAGTGAAAAAAACACGGAAACAAATTTCGCTTTCAAAGAGGTGTTGAATAAGAGACAAAAGTCGGGCAGGTTACCATCAATAACCATGCAATTGACCGAGGGTGGCAAATTACAACTTAGTCATATGGCTGTCCTAGCCAATTTGAAGGTGCGCCATACATTCAGACCAACGAAGAGTTCTAAACCTAGCTTTGTGCATCAGTCTCCACAGACAGGGTGCACCCAGCTGAAAAACGATGCTTTGAGAACTAGGTAAAACCTGTTAGGTTCAAATTGAATGTACATAGAGCTTGATGAATACTAGTTAGACAATTGATAACAGTAAATATCCATGAAGATATAGAATGGCACACTACAACTGGGTAAGAATTTCCACACCAGTCTCGGTAATTAAAAGACTGTGTTCAAATTGTGCTGATAGACCACCATCTTCTGTCACATACGTCCAGTTATCGTTCCACATAACATCCCTTGTGCTCCCTTGTGTCAACATGGGCTCTGCACCGTAAAACGGACCTTGGTTACGAAGATTTTATGTATAAACGGAAACAAACATGAGGGATACAGTACGAGCTTTTTTCAACACTGAGGAGAGAATCTTGCATAACTCTGAAAATGGTTTAGAAAATGCTAAGCAAATTACCAATAGTAAATGTCTGCCCAACTACCATGCTTCCGGGTTCGTTATTACCTGCTCAAAACACACAGGCAATGAAGTTAATGTTAAGTACCAGCAGCAACATTGCACTCGTTGGACAACACTAGCCCATTCTTTCTCTTGATGATGTTGACGGTGGTATTCGAAAACAAAACGTTCAAAAAAGAAAAAAAAAAGTTTTCAAATAACCAACCATTCCCAAAATCATAAATTAGGATACGACGAATCCAAAAAACTAACAGCTGCAACAAAAATAGACAATCCTTCTTCCAACGTAATCCTGAAAAGCAGGTACGTAACTGAAAACGGAAAGTAAACTTACGTGCATGCACAATAGAGGGAGCAGAATGGAAAACTCGTCCTACACCATGACCTACAAAGTGTTCTACAACACCATATCTGTGTTTATCTGCAATCTCACTGTCACAAGTACACATCCATAAAACACGATACAATCTCAGAAGATTAGCCTTAACGCCAGCTTCATATAACGTTGAATAATTTACACAAATAAAATAAATAAACTCGAAAGTGACATCGCGGTCAGAAAGGAGAAAACACCAACGCCATGAGCGACTCACTTAATAGTTCTGCCTATCTTCTTGAACTCAACACCTGGCCCGCAAATCGAAATTGCTTTATCAAGAGATTCCTTCGTGACCTGACCATGTAGGAGGATCAACAATTGAGACTGGGTAAATATAGAACTCTTTTGTATCATGCACGTATCTGAATCGTTGAAGGTCAAACTACACCATATAGATGCGCGGTTACAACAAATCATTCAGAAAAAAGTTGAATCGTTTCAAATAAAAAGATCACAATCAAAGCCGGTGAGAGGAAAAATCACACATTGATAATCCTCGACAGCATTGGATGATGATCTTGTGCGAACATAAAGATGAAGCAAAAGACACAAGAATTCTCTAGCTGATGCATATTAAAAATCAGGGACCGAATAAAGATACAAAGAGAACTTATAATGAGACCGACCACCCGTCGTAATGATGGCCTACCTCAACTAGCTTTTTAGCTTCATCACTGACGTTACCACAATAAAAGGTCTTGGAAGTGTCCCCATGGTAACCCTAGTCATAGAAAAGGGAAAGCACCATTAGGAAAGCTGATAAAACTACACAAACACCAGCATCAAAGAAATCAAATTCAATCTCCTCACCAGCTTTCAGGGTTTAGGGTTTAAAGCATAATGAGAAATTCTAAAAGCTCTGAAATTGCGACTATGAAGTCAGCAAAGCCTAAACGAAGCCGTGCCAGCACATCGATAAAAAGAAAACTTCAAAGGTATTCTCGCTACAAACGTGAATTGTCACGTAACATCTGACGAGTAGAAGGCACGTACATTTAACCAGACTGTGACGTCAATATTAATAATATCTCCGTCCTGCATTATTCAATACACTTTCATCAATAAAAGCCATCCTAATACGGCTCACATCTGTTACCATTCCAGCTTCAAATTCAGAGGAATCGGTTCAAAACACAGATGAATCAGATAATAGTAAGATTGCAACTTGGACATGTAGCCTAGGTGACCAGCAAACTAAGACTTCGCACTATCACCCAGGGTCGCTAGAGCGGTTCATAAGTTTTCGACCCAAGAGAGCACTAGATTGTATTTCCAAACCAACCTCAAGTGGACGGGAGTCAGGAATGCCATGACAGATGCACTCATTTACAGAGGTACAAACGCTCTTTGGAAAACTTCCATAACCAAGAGGAGAAGGATAAGCGCCGGCATCGATTGTCATTTGATGGACAGCCTTATCGATTTCATCCGTTGTCACACCTGGCTGTGCCATGACAGAATATTAAGCTTCAGATAATGTGAAGGATAGAAAATTATGTTGTAGCAGAAGCATGGATGCAATAAGAACTCGAAAAATGCTGCATGTTATAATTCTGAGGCTGAAAATTTACCTTCACCAGTGTTCCAGCGTACTCGAGAACCCTGGCAGCGAGCTGACCAGACGCCCTCATGCGCTCAATCCCCTCAGCATCCTGGATTTGAAACTCATCGAGGAATGGAGGCGGGTTTCGAGACCCAACGTAAGGTGGACGAGGAATGTGCTTAGGAACCTCCAAGCGAGGCGAAACTTTGCCTCGCTTCAATGGGGGGCGACGGGATCCTGATTCATCAACCTGTTTCCCTTGCTCGCTTAATCTGCAATTACATTCACAGGCATAAAATTCCAAGCCAGTCTCACTACAATACAAAAACTCAAGTAATTGCACAGAAGAGGATAGCTGTTCTATACATTAAATAAACATTAGGACTAGTAATTCTTCCAAGATTAAGGTGTTCATTTGAACCAAACAGCAGACACCCCTCCGACTCAGGTTACCAAATCAAATGGTTTTAATTGTTCCCATTGTCAAAATTAGCAGTTGCATAAGTGAGTGCATCGCTAAATGATAAATTAACACCTTGTGCTTATCGATTATCTCCAACCATTAAGATAGTTCCACCGCCAGTTGATGCACATACCTTTTGTTCAAGAACAATTCGGCGAAACCTGACCTCTTTTTCGCTAGGACAAGTACAGGTCCTGACCTGCGACTCGTACGATCTGTTCACACGGTTTAAAAGAGCTGTTGTAAAAAAAATTCACAAACGATGACGCGAACCACGCAACACCCAATACCTTCACCTGGTGAATATATACGTTAAACCGCAAAATGGATAACGACTACAACCAAAAATCAACTCAACCTGTAGCGAAATTACTAAAAGCATGATCAACAAGAAGAACGTAAACAGAGTAGAAACCCCTAAAAAGAATGGCCTCTCGGTAATACTCCTCGGCAGAGTTCTCGTTGCTCATTGAAGTCCAACCCAACAGCAATTCACAAATATCCCGACTGTTTGGGAGAGTAGAAACGGCAAGTGAATCTAACCTTGAAATTCGTGCCCCAGATCCAAACAAGACCCATTCACAGAATATCGCAGGCTCCTCCCCGAACCCCAGAGAGACGAAGCGAAGGGGGTGAAAGTGGAGGCGCACTCGAGTGACGCAGGTTGCGCCACGGTTCCCACAGCTGCTACCGCTCCTACGTGCGCCATTCTTTCCCAAAATTCAGAAGAGAGTCTATACAACCCACTTACAATCAACCCCACAATCCCAACTGCAGAAACACTCGAATTCTAGCCAAAATCCTGCTTCCGAGGATCATTCCCGCAGCACTATCGAGCCGTCGCTGCACTCATTCTCGGTTCCCAAAACCCGAATCCGTGCAGCAACATACAGGGCCATTTTGTGGTGCTTTTGGGGGGCTCCGGTGGGGGAGATTGTTGCGGTGAATCTGCCTGAGTTATCCACATGAGCTCAATCCGCAGCGCAGAACTGGCGCTGCAGTTGTGCGTGTGTGGTGGTGGCTTTCGTGCCGGAGGCTGGCGTTCACGGGCACGACATGGCCCGTCAGATGATGGTGGATGAATGTGTTTATGGATGAATGAAATTAATGAATTCGTAACGAATGAATGTTGATGATGAATGTTGGTGGATGTGTTTATTTGTGGATGGATTAAACTTCGGCCAAATCATTTGGGACCCATTCGAAGAAATCTCATTTTTATTAAGCCAAAGCTTGATTATTAAAAATACTGCACTTGTAATGTATTGGTTTCTAGATTTTTTTTTTTTTTTTTTTTTTTTCTGAAATTACCATTTTTGTTTTTAATTTTTTTTTAATATTAAAAATATGTTGTAGCACTTTTGTTATAGAAAGTTTTCTTTTAAATCATGTAGGAAAAGCTTCCGAAATAAGTTATTTTTACGAGTTTAGGCAACGAGTCTTGCTGCATAAATAATAATTTATTATAATGTTTAGGAAAAACCCTTTAGTACCCTTGTGAAGTAAGTTGTTGAAACTTAGACAATGAACTTTTTATTCTTGGTACTGCCAATAAAAAAATAAAAAATAAAAATAAAAATAAAACACAATAATATCATTTTATCTCACAAAATCATCTTTGAAATTTGTTTGGTTTATGATTTGCAAGCCTTTCTGTGTCTTGATAAAGTCATGTGAATAATTTGTTATGCATTAATGTAATTGATACTTGTTTTTGCCTTCTTAATTATCTTTGAATTTGTACAAAAAAATTCACTTTTTCTTTTAACAATTTGATACAATGTTTGTGTAAGGGCAATTAATTCAATTAAAATATTCAATGCCGTAGTTTAAATTTATATCATTACAATCAACCAATAAAATCAATTTTAGAAATCATTTATATGTTCTAAAATTCTTTAATAATTGCAACAGCTTATTATATGTCTCTTATAATAACAATTGTGGAATTTATATGATCATGTGTCACGGCCATAATCATATAAGCTAATAATTACATATAGAAATAGGTAGAAGTAAGTAAAAGTAGATAAAAGTAAGTTAATTGTATAATATTTAATATAGAAGCTTCCTAGAAACTTCCTAGACGCTGCTTTGACTTCATAGGTGTCTTTAATTGACTTTTTGGATTAGAAACGTGGTCAACAAGTTGGCCATGTGCCACACATGTTGTTAGCTTGAAGATCAAGCTAACTATGTGGCCCACACGTAGGAAAACTTGCCTTGTAAGTCAAGGCATGTGTCCTACAAAGTCAACACATATTGGAGGTCCTATAGAACGTCGCCACGTAGCCCCTAGTTAGATAGTATATATAGAGACAAGAGTGAAGGCTTCTTCACTCTTGTCAACTCCTTTCTTGCTTCTAGTCTAGTTTCAAGGGTCTCTAGTTTTCTTGTATTTTGGCAATAGCCATTCCAGTTTCTTTCTTAATATACATATTTCTATTTTATCCTATTTCTTTTTTGAGAAAAGTCTCACTTACTCTTTAGCTTTCATCGAGTTCTTGTCCTTGACAGATTGACAAGAGTACACTTACAATATGAGAGCTTTGTCTTTTCTTGATTAAGAGTGGATTACCTCTTTTTCTTGATAAGACATAAGCGCATTAGAAGTTGCGGATTACCCTCTTTTAAACTGATATTGTTCTTAGTATTTTCTTTGTTATCAATTCCTCTCTTCTATTTGTTTTGAGCGTTATTAGACATCTTCTCTTTTTTAAGTGCTACTATGGCAGAGCTTGTTGAAATGAAGAGTACAATGGCACAGATGCAAGAACAATTGAGGGAGTTAATGCTTGCGATGCATCAACTCAATTTACCACCACAAGGAGCAACAAGAATGGTAGGAAGTGAAGATATAGAGATGATTGGGGCTGCTTCAACATCTGCACCAAACCATGTCCCTTCTCCCAGAATGGAACACCCTTCGAGTGTTAGAGAACCGAGAGTTGCCTTGCCCGAGAAGTTTGATGGTACCAGATCCAAGTTTCGAGGATTCATCAATCAGGTCCAACTAGTGATTGAACTTCAACCCCAGAGCTATCCAACTCCAGGGTCACAAGTTAGATTCATTGGTACACTTCTTTCAGGTTCAGCATTGTCATGGTTTTCATCTTTTCTTGAACGACGAGATCCAATATTGGATAATCTGGAGGCTTTTTTGGCGGAGTTTCGATCCATGTTTGGAGAACATGATGCAATTCGTGTTGCAACCAACAAGATCCGTATTTTGCGACAAGGCAATCGATCAGTAACATTATATGCTTCGCAATTTCGACAACTTGCAACTGATATCAAGTGGGATGATGCCGCACTTGTGAGTCAATTTCTCTACGGATTACAATATGAGGTAAAGAAATTGATGCTTAATTTACCTGATCCTCAAACATTGAGTCAAGCAATTGACTTTGCTGTGAAGTGCGACAATCGACTTTTTGAATTTCGATCCGAGAGTCGCACAAGTGGGCCTCAACGTTACTACAATTCAATGGCAACACCGACGTCTCCTCAACACATACCTTCAGAAGTAGAGGATATGCAAATTGATGCGGTACGTTTCAAACCTCTTACTGAGCAAGAAAAGTCTCGTCGTCGACAAGAAGGATTGTGCTTATATTGTGGAGAACCTAAGCACACTGCTCAACATTGTCCAAAGAAGCGACGTAACTACAAAATGAGGAGTACGGCTGTCAAAGAAGACAGTATGTCGGAAAACGAGTACGTCCAGCTACAATAGGGACCGTGCGGCTGGAATCTTGTACAACTTCTAATGAAGGTCCTATCTTCTCCTCAGAACCATCTCCTTGTTTTATAATAGATGTGCGTTTAGGACCTAATAATTACAAAGCCTCTGCCTTGATAGATTGAGGAGCCTCAGCTTGTTTTTTAGATGAAGAATTTGCTAGATGTCATAGAATATCATTAATACAAAAAACTAAACCTGTACACATAGAAGTCATAGATGGTCGTCCGTTGTCTTCTGGAGATGTAACTCACGAAACACTTCCTATAGATGTAGTAATAAATGGTCATAGTAGTTGCGTAATTTTTAATATAATTAGATCTCCCTCTAATCTAGTAATTTTAGGCTTATCATGGTTAGAAAAGTATAATCCTCGAATAGATTGGATTTCTCGTAAACTTGATTTTCCTCGGAGCATTAGTAACAGTTCTATTAATCAAGTAAAAAACCATGAGTCTAGTATAGTAAAACCCGCACTTATAGGTGCAAAAGCATTTATACACGCAGCAAAAGAAAGATCAACTTTTGCTATTTATGCTGCACCTATTTCTGAAAGCGTAAAGACTTCAAGTGGCATTCCAAGTCAATATCAGGATTATCAAGACGTTTTTGAGAAAAAGAATGCAGATATTCTTCCTGAGCATCGCCCATACGATTGTTCAATCGATCTCAAGGAAGGAACTCAGCCACCATTGGACCAATTTACAGTTTATCGCAAGATGAGTTGGCTGAACTCAAGACATATATTGACGAGAATTTAGCGAAGAATTTCATACGCCATTCAAAATCTCCAGCAGGAGCTCCAATTTTATTCGTAAAGAAAAAAGATGGATCTTTACGAATGTGTGTTGACTATCGAGGACTCAACAAGATCACAATCAAGAACAGGTATCCATTACCTTTGATATCAGGACTCCTTGACCAGTTAAATCAAGCTAAGATCTATACAAAAATAGATCTAAGAGGAGCATATAATCTAGTACGGATCAAAGAAGGAGATGAATGGAAGACTGCGTTTCGAACCAGGTACGGACACTTTGAATACAATGTCATGCCTTTTGGACTCACGAATGCACCAGCTGCTTTTCAACATCTCATGAATGATGTATTTCGTGAATTCTTAGACAATTTTGTCGTCTGCTACCTAGACGATATCCTGATTTATTCTAAGAATGTTGAAGAACATGAAATACATGTTCGTCAAGTATTACAAAAACTTAGAGATGCAGGATTGTACGCCAAGATAGAAAAGTGTGTATTTCACACTACTCAAGTTGACTTTTTAAGATACATCATTTCAAATGATGGTCTTATGATGGATTCTAAGAAAGTCCAAACAATCATGGATTGGAAGATTCCAAAGACTGTAAGAGATGTCCAATGTTTCTTGGGATTTGCCAATTACTATCGGATCTTCATCGAAGACTTCTCACGAGTTGCAGCTCCACTTACACGCTTGACTAGTAAAGATAAATTCCAATGGAATCAAGAAGCGGAAGCAGCATTTGAAGCCTTGAAGACATCGTTTGTCTCTGCACCAGTCTTATATCGTGTTGACTTTTCCAAGGTATTTTTTATGGAAACAGACGCATCGGATTTTGCCTTGGGTGCAGTTTTATCACAAATGGGAACAGATGACAAACTTCATCCGATAGCTTTTCATTCAAGAAAATTCTCAGCAGCCGAGATCAATCATGAGATCCACGATAAAGAACTTCTTGCAATCGTGGATTCTTTTCAAGAATGGCGTCATTATCTAGAAGGTGCTTCTAGTCCAGTCATTGTGTATACAGATCACAAGAACCTCGAGTATTTCATGTCAACACGCGTGTTGAATCGTCGTCAAGCTCGTTGGAGTATGTCTTTGTAAAGATTCGACTTCATTATCACTTATCGGCCAGGAAAACAACAAGGTTTGTCCGATGCCCTGTCTAGACGTTCTTATTTTGCACCAAAAGAAGGAGATGCAGCTTTTGAGCAACAAAGAACGGTCCTCTTGAAACCGGAGCAATTTCATCTCCGAGCAGTGAAATCAACACTGACTGTTGATTCAACTTTTCTCAAGCAAATCCAGTCCAGTATGTCCTCAGACCCTCTTGTTCATGATATCGAGAATAATTCTTCCAAGTCTCATGATTCTTCTAAGTTTGAGTTCAAGAATAATCTATTATATTTTGAAGGACGCCTATATGTTCCAGAAGGAAAAGCACGTTTGCGTGTTCTTCAAGCACGTCATGACTTTCCAGCAGCAGGTCACTTTGGATATAATAAGACTCTGGAACTCATATCAAGAGATTTTTGGTGGCCACAAATGTGGAAGTCAGTCAAAGACTTTGTACAATCATGTGATATTTGTTCAAGATCAAAAATTCCTCGACATCGACCTTACGGACTTCTTCAGCCATTACCTATACCAGAACAACCATGGTCTTCTGTTTCTATGGATTTCATCACAGATCTTCCAAACTCAAGATCTTATGATTCTATATTTGTGATAGTAGATCGTTTCACCAAGATGGCACATTTTATGCCATGTACAAAATCTATCACAGGTGAAGAAACAGCTAAGCTTTTCATTGATAATATCTATCGCTATCATGGATTACCTAAAGATATCATATCGGATAGGGGAACTCAATTTGTGTCGAGATTCTGGAGGACTCTTTTCAAGATTTTAAAAGTGGACATAAAGCTATCTTCAGCTTTCCATCCTCAAACTGATGGACAAACAGAGCGCGTAAACCAAGTCTTGGAACAGTATTTAAGGTGTACCATCAACTACCAACAAGATGATTGGACAATCCTTCTGCCATTGGCAGAGTTTGCTTATAATAATACAGTACATTCTTCCACGCAACAAACACCTTTCTTTGCCAATTATGGCTATCATCCACGACTTGATACTTTTGATTTTTCAAAAGTTGATAATCCTGCAGCAGAAGACATGGCAAATCGGTTGTCAGAGTTACATGCAATAATGAAGGCGCAGTTGAAGAAAGCTCAAGAACGACAAAAGATAAATGCAGATGTATATCGTAAAGAGCAACCACAACTCAACGTGGGTGATAAGGTATGGCTACTTCGTCGCAATATCAAGACCACTCGACCTTGTGACAAATTGGACTATCGTAGGCTTGGCCCCTTTTCTGTTTCTGAATAGATCAACCCAGTTGCATATCGGTTACATCTACCGGAGTCAATGAAGATCCATCCTGTATTCCACGTGTCTCTTCTTGAACCATATAAGACAGTGGATATGCAAGGAAGAAGACAAATGCCACCGCCTCCTATAGAAGTAGATAATAATGAAGAATTTGAGGTGGAAGAGATATTAGACTCAAGGCGGCGCCGAAATAAGCTGGAATATCTTGTTCATTGGCGCGGATATGATATTAGTGAGCGCACATGGGAGCCATCCAGGAATCTAGCAAATGCATCAGCTAAAGTCAAAGTTTTTCATCAACGACATCCATCAAAACCAAGATGAAAACCTCTCTTATAAAAGAGACAAGATTGAGGCAAGATAACATTCAATTTCCTATCCTTGTTTGTAACTTCTTTACATTTGTGACGCTAATTAGATGGAGAGCCAACAACCAGCGGATTCAACTCAAGAACCTTCGTTTGCTGACCTGCCGGACGAGACATTACGATTGTCACAACCTTCAAGACGACGCAATCGAGATGAAGATCTTCAAGAACGACATGTTCTTCCTCGAACAGATGGTGAGATACAACGCGTTTGGTATCACGATTTGGGAAGGGACTCCCGATGTTTGGTGATTTTGCTAGAGGTAGGAACAACTCCTGATGGTGTTCCGAATATTCTATTCGAAGGAAGTTATGAAGGCCTCAATAATGATCAAATAATTGGGTGGTCTTCCCGCCCTGGTATGGGACACTACCGATGGTAGAGAGGCCCTATCAATCATCTTCGAAGAGAACAGAGATCAGAGTATGTGGCGAATATAATTCGTCGCATCATAGATTTCCTCAACATATGATGACCGCTCCTCGTGGAACTCGTCTCTAGAAGGGGGGGTAATGTCACGGCCATAATCATATAAGCTAATAATTACATATAGAAATAGGTAGAAGTAAGTAAAAGTAGATAAAAGTAAGTTAATTGTATAATATTTAATATAGAAGCTTCCTAGAAACTTCCTAGACGCTGCTTTGACTTCATAGGTGTCTTTAATTGACTTTTTGGATTAGAAACGTGGTCAACAAGTTGGCCATGTGCCACACATGTTGTTAGCTTGAAGATCAAGCTAACTATGTGGCCCACACGTAGGAAAACTTGCCTTGTAAGTCAAGGCATGTGTCCTACAAAGTCAACACATATTGGAGGTCCTATAGAACGTCGCCACGTAGCCCCTAGTTAGATAGTATATATAGAGACAAGAGTGAAGGCTTCTTCACTCTTGTCAACTCCTTTCTTGCTTCTAGTCTAGTTTCAAGGGTCTCTAGTTTTCTTGTATTTTGGCAATAGCCATTCCAGTTTCTTTCTTAATATACATATTTCTATTTTATCCTATTTCTTTTTTGAGAAAAGTCTCACTTACTCTTTAGCTTTCATCGAGTTCTTGTCCTTGACATCATGTTTAAAGAACTACAACTTGATTTTACAAAAAAAAAAAAAAAAAAAAAAAAAAACACTACATCAACAAAACAAAATAAATTATAGAAGATTTATACACCAAGTTTGTCGCATTACTAATCTTAGATTCACAAATTATTTAACCCTAACAAAGAAAAGCCCTTTTAAAAAACATCTGACCTACAAACAGCAATGACACCATAATGACATCCAAGAGGGAAAAAAGAATTCTGGAAATTTAAAAATAAAATCCAGTCAAAAGTTCTATCCGAAAGGAAAAGTTAAAAACGAATCTCGCCACGTCACCAAAAGATCCCGCCATAACTTTTCGCGCCACGGTGGAGCGCGTGACGTCAGCCCTAAGCGGCGTTTTCTCGTTTGTGGGTCAATCTCTCGCAGCACGGGACCAGCTTCGCTTGCACCCAGCGAGTGATCAGCTGCTGCTCTCACTCTGTCCCCGCTCATTGGCGAATTGCACAATCTCTCTTCCCCTCCCCCTCCCGTCCCGCATACCGTTCTTCTTCTCGTTCCAGTTTGCGAGCTGTGAGGTGGAGAGTCGAGAGAGAGCCTGAAGGTGGAGTAGCAGCAGCAGCCATGAATGGGCATGGCAATGGAGGCTGCGCGGCCGCAGGAGTGCCGCGGGCTGCCTTCGGGAAGGCGGACAAAGGCGCCGACTTCGCCAATTACTTTTGCACATACGCCTTCTTGTACCACCAGAAGGAGATGCTCTCCGATCGCGTGCGCATGGACGCCTACTACGATTCCATTTTCAAAAACGCCCGGCATTTCAAGGGAAAGGTGCGTGCGAGCTCGCCGCCTAGGAGTGGTTGCCGTGTTTCGCCGGTGAAAATGCAGTCTTTTGGCAGTCTGTTTGGTTGTTGTTGTTCCTTGACGTGTCGATCATTCCACGGCAGTTCAGAGCTGGGTCCGTTTCCTTGGAGGTGACAAATCGTTGATGAATTGTTTAAATATTCATTGGATGATTTATTTATTTATTTATTTCCCTTCTGTTGTGTGTAGTTTGATGAGGTGAAGGCAAACGTGATTTTTCCATCGTGTTCTGGGCTTGTGTCTTATTTCAGCTCTGGTTGTTGAGAGCTTAATATATTGCATGATGGTAAACGGGGTTTTAAGATGTTGTGGGTTATCGTGAGGAGCATCACATGTGAACGTCAGTAATTGGTTAACTTCACATTCCTTGATATTGCACATGATGCTTGCACTGAGTTTGAATTGGATTTCTAACTTGCTGGAGTAATTCCTTCTAGCTGGTGAATGTATTTATTTTTTGGAGTTGCTAACCATGCGGCTTATCAAGGTGTACTCTTCTCATGCAGACTGTGTTGGACGTCGGCACTGGAAGCGGTATATTGGCAATCTGGTCAGCTCAAGCTGGTGCCCGCAAGGTGTACGCCGTCGAAGCTACGGATATGGCTACACACGCAAGAGCTTTGGTAGCAGGAAATAAAATGGAGAACGTTGTTGAAGTTATCGAGGGATCTGTTGAGGATATTTCCTTACCTGAACAAGGTATCCCTCCCATTCCAGTTGTTCTTGCTAGGAATTCTGCTTGCTTAACAATAGCTGTCGTAGCCCATGGTGAGAACCATGGGATTGCTTTTCTCGTTCCATGTTACCTGGAAGTTCATGATTCAAGGATGTGATCTAATAAGTCAGAAGGCGTATTCAAATCTTCGAACCCACACATGTACATGCGTACGATGCAGAGTGGTGGATGCTTTGTCCAAGCTTACAAAACTAGTCCTGCAACCCACGGATAATGTGGAATGTCGAAATGCTCCTGTCACGACTTATGAGGATGGAGCTTGTCTTTTCGGGCATTGTCAGTCAACATTTCACAGCTTGAGCGCAAGCCAACCTCATGAGCATTGGGTGGGTGGGTGGGTTGTGAAGTGTCGGGGGAATTAGCCAGGGTTTGGGTGAGTAGTAACTGTGGCGGCCTCTTTCGTGTACCTTCGCAGTCGACATCATAATTTCGGAGTGGATGGGCTACTTTCTCGTGCGAGAATCTATGTTCGATTCTGTTATCTACGCCAGGGACAAGTGGTTGAAGCCTACTGGCATGATGTACGTATGACCTATTCACTGATTCAATCTTGATATCCGAAAATTGTTCTCGTCTACGTACGTAGTTTCGTGGTTCATCGAATTGTGCACACAGTCCCCGACCTCAACCTTCACTGAAATCAGCTCCATTCTGTTGGTTGAAATCAGGTATCCTAGTCATGCACGTATGTGGCTTGCCCCCATGCAAACAAATTTGGGAGAGCGAAAGATGCAGGAGTACCAGCATGCCATGGATGATTGGTCTCGTTTTACCCAAGAAACCCTTGATCAGTACGGTGTTGACATGGGCGTTCTTAATACCCCTTATCGAGCAGAACAACAAAAATACTTTCTTCAGGCAAGTATTGGAGGCGCTACCGGCACCCTCTTGCGAGTGGCGAACACTGTTCGTGACCTGTTACTTTGTGCTGTAGGTGTCCTTCGGTTCAGGATTATATATTTTCACACATGATGCTAATTGTATTCATCACTTATACAGACCTCAGTGTGGAACAACCTACATCCTAATCAAATTATTGGAGAACCTGCCTTGGTTAAGGAATTTGACTGCCTAAAAGCAACGCTTGAACACACAGCAAGTCTGCGATCACAATTTAGGATACCAATCGATCCTGGTAATTTGCAGATTGCTGGATTTGCTGGTTGGTTTGATGTACATTTCAGAGTAAGTTTCTACTCAGTTTCAATTCCCTTCTTATTTCGGGTCCACAAATTGCATAGCTTGCGATGCATAGACATCAGTATTATCATGAGTATTTATATTAGTATTTCTTAAGTCACTGAGAGTATTAGTAATATTTGATTAGCTCAAGTCACAGCCTGTTCTGATTGAAATTGTGTGCAACGATATTACTCACACAAAACGGTTCATAATGTGCTGAAATATTTCAAATCTCTTTTTGACTGACCCACTACCTCAAATAGGGCTGTGCTAGTGATGCTGCTGATAATGATGTAGAGTTGACCACTGCACCTAGCGTTTCTGATACCACTCACTGGGGCCAGCAGGTAAATATCTTAACTTTTGAGCTTCTCTGTAGATGTATATTTATTTATTTCTCGGCACGTTGTTTTTCGGGAAGGAATATTTGTTCAACTATTTCATGAGCTTGAAATCTGATGTTGGCTGTGTTGTTGCTGAACAGGTGTTCCTGTTGCATCCTCCCATCAACACAAGAAATGGCGATGTATTGGTGGGTGAACTGGAAGTCACACGTTCCAAACAGAATCATAGATTAATGGATGTCAAGGTTGTACACAACTTGGAACGGCGGGACAGTCCTCCAGCTCAGCCAACCATTTCTCAATTCCATATTGAGTAAGTGAAATATACACTTGAATTAGTCCTATGTTTATGAATATGGAATCGGATACCCAACATTTTTACGAATGTTATTGCCACAGCATGCCGTGAGTTGGGGCTCCGGTATCAAGTTGATTGAATGAGGTTCTACCCTTTTGTGCAACCTCTCGCTTATTTTTCGATACAAGGGCGTCTGGGACAGCATTTTCATGGAGAACCAGAATCTCCATAATTTAAAGCGTCAAATGGATTCAATTTTTTTGCCCTTATAACTTCAAGGATTATCGTCCCATGGTACTTTCAAATTAATTCATGCAAGTCTTTTTGAAAACTCGATTTTTTTTTTTAATACAAGATAGGATCAAACAGCCTGCGGGTCTGCGCAGATAAACATGCATTGTTATTAATGTTCATAATACATATATATATATATATATATATATATATATATCTGCTAGCCAGCGATTGTGAAGTCCATTTACAGTGGAATTGACTAGATTTGTTAATTCAAATAAGATATGTACATATATATATATATATATATATATCATTTAGACCGTATTTATTAACACCTATTATCAATTTACAATTCTTGATGGTGTTAGAGGACCATTGCCCTGATTAGTATATTTTGGAATCATATTTCTGATGGTATTTATGACGCTTGAGCAACTTGGAGACTTGATATGGCAGTCCACCAGAGAATGCTTCCAAGCTATGCCTCCACCTTGCGTCGGAAGGTTGGGACAATTTTACAAGCACAGCTGCTCAGAATAAAGTTCTTTTTCGGGGGAAGACGCAGGGAATCTATATTCACAAAGTAATAAAGGTGCTTTGGAGGACTGCTCTTGACGTCTGCATCAGAGTGGCGCAGCGGAAGCGTGGTGGGCCCATAACCCACAGGTCCGAGGATCGAAACCTCGCTCTGATAATACAGAGAACAAGGCTTCCGAAGCTGAATACTTTTTGTCTCCCACTTGCCAAGTGTCACTGGTGCTTGCTAGGTGTGCTCCTGCTGATCGTCCCCTCAATTCTACACAGACTCAACCCTTTTCAATTCCGGCCATAGCAGAACAGGTGCTGGATGAACAGAAAATTCAAATGACTACTTGTACCAATACATTTTAATAGACCCTTCACCCTATCTGATTGTGCACAAGCAATTTTGTTTGTTTGAACCACAAATCCTCAACCCTACACAGGACTTCCAACAATTGGTTACCAATAGTTGTTCACAAAATCTAAGACAAATACCCAACATCTACATCTATGGACACACATGGATAATGGATGGATGATGTTGAAAGGTCAAAGTATGAGCTAGATAATTGTTTAGCAAAATTGAGCAATTCCAACCATTACATGCAATCATGTGAGATTTGGGCCCAACCACTAATTGATATTTTATCAACAAATGTAATAGTTTAGAAGCAACGGTAGACCAAGGTGGCAAGTATCTTTGAAAGAGAGAAAGGTGGACTACTTGAATTGCATGCAAATTGCATGCAAAGTATCTTGCTTACCATAGTATTTTCTTGTTCGATATATGTAATTGAGTATAGGTGCCACATTTTGCTTCTTCTTATATATAAGGACCTATACTAGGAGAGAAGTGAGGAATCAAACAAAAAAACTTGAGTCACCAATTCATAAAAAATTAGGTAGGCATCACCAACAAAGAATGTTAGACAAATAGTTTACATTTCTATAAATATGGTTTTCAATTTCATCTAAAAAAACATCTAAGATGAAAAAAAGTATGTTGAGATAATATTTTTATAAATAAAGATTTATTCTAAAAACACTAGGTAATGTAAAAATATACTGATGGAATGTAGCAAATTAGTTATAAGATGAAATTTACACCCTTGTCTTTGTTGATTGAAAATACTTTTTAATTTATAAATATAACTCTATAAATAGATCCATATAAATCTTTGCTATTATTGCTAACGTAATATCTTTTTGTAAGAAGTACAACATTTAGAAAAATCTCAATATTTCTAATAAAAGCCAAAATATAAGAATACTATAAAGACAAAAGATGATATATCTATCAAGTTAGATTACACTTGCCATTTTTTTTTGGATGAAGTGCTATTTTTTTCCTACTATCGCCAAGGTGGCATACCAAAAAATAACATATTAATTGAAAGAAAGTAATTTTTGATAATAAATATTGAACTTATTTTAAGGTGAGATTTACAAAATAAATATTAAAAGAATACAAAAAATTTGTAATAATTTTATATTCAATAGGTTATTTTATTTATTTATTATTTTTTAATATTCATAAGATCTATATGCCAATTATTCCGAAGAACATAGACTATCAAGATTACTAAGGAATTGATGTATATAAGAAAATAAATTCTATCATTATAGTATATTTTAAAAATCCCTTTAACACATCAATACCATAGATATTATTACATAGGATAAATTACTATTATAGTCTTATAATAATATATTGAAGAGATTAGAACGTTTTGAAGATATTTTAATAAAAAAATGATTTTGAAGTTTAGAATGTAGATGATAGGTAAGTAGAATATTCCATAGATTAAATTGGGCACTGTAGCTCACATTGGATCTTTTCATAATAATCTAACAATAAGCAATTTTAAGAGAATCTAAATGAAAGATAAATAGATTAATTAATTTACTAATTAAGTATTAATATTATTAATTGATTTAAAACATAAAAAATCTATAAAAAAATAGACATTTATAGTAAATAAAAAGACTTAAGCATTGATGATAAAATCTATAGTTTAAACCTCAAAGACATTTGATACTTTGTAAGTCTACTATGACTATAAGATCTTGTATAAAGTTGATTAGAAAATATATTTTATGCACAATATATAACTTTAAGTTTAAATTTTAAAAAATATATATTTTTAATATGTTAATTTATAAAACAAAAATGAATATAAAAAATTAGATTAAATTTTTTTATATGATGAAATTAATTTTTTTAGAAGAAATATAGTTAAATTTCTTGATGCATTAGAAGACATAATTAAAGTGCCTAGGAAGGATCTTAAATAAAAACTTATTACAAGTTAGAAATAAAAGGTGGCAATAATAAGTACTTTATTAATTAATAGCTTCTAATATTAGAAGAATAAAATTTTAAAAACTAATTTTATAACTATTTGTAACTAATATCATAAATATCATATATTATTTTATTTTTTTTATAATTTTTAATACAATTTTATCTAATGAAGAAAATAACTATTTAATTCTATAATTTTATAATATTATTATAAAAAAAATTATAATATTTTTTATTTCTAATATAAAGAACTAATAATATAATAATTTTATATTAAAAATATTATTAGAATATTGAATCTATTAATTATTAAAAAATACTTATAATAACCAAAAAAAGGTTGGTTCTTTTTAAATCTGAAATTTCTTTTAATAATACTAAAAAAATCACCACCTTAAATTTTAACTTCTTCAAGTTTTGATCAGTTTTTTTATTTTTTAAAAAATAATTAAGACTCTAAATTTTATTAAGCCTATCAAAACTTTATTTTTATGATTTTTTATTTAAAATAATTCTTATAACTTATAATATTATTTGGTATGCAAAAAACAAATTCAGATGGTATATCTATGACAACTTATATAATGCAAATTAAATTGAATCAAATGCAAGTATCAATGATAAGAACTTGATGAAAAACAAATAAATAAGTCAGATTTTTTCAAAGAATTATAACAAAATATAAATAAAAAATACTTTTTTTAAGAAGAAACTGGAATGGCTATTGCCAAAAGACAAGCAAACTAGAGACTTCTTGAAACTAAACTAGAAGTAAGAAAAAGAATGGATAAGAATGAAAAAGGCTCCACTCTTGCCTTTATATATACTATCTACTTAGGAACTACATGGTGACGTCCTATAGGACCTCCAAAATGTATTGACTTTGCACACCATGTATCCTAACTTGTAAGACAAGTTTTCTATATGGGTGCCACATAGTTAGTTTGTTCCATAGGCTATTAATCTATATGATATGTGGTTAATTTATTGACCAAGTTTCTAACCTAACAATCAACTACAAATACATATAAAGTCAAAGCAGAGTCTATAAACATTTTAGGAAGATTTTTAAAAAGATAATATAAAATTAATCTATTTTTACCTACTTCTATCTATTTATATTATTTAAATAATAATTATAATAAAAATATGTTTGTGATATTTTTTTTCTTTTTAGAAACAATTTCCATGAGGAACAGTGATCACATGTTGATGAAGTCTAAAATGCAACAAATTATATTTACCACATGAATTAATCTTTGTTCCTTTTGAAGATAGTTGATAGGTTCTCTCAACCATTGATAATGTCTCATTCCATGGCAACAAGACTACCTTGTTATTTGATCATTGTTGAGACTTTCATAACTTCTTTCAAATAAAACATTTGTAACACCATCAAGAGTTGTTCTTACCTCTAATAAAATCACTAAACATTGATACTCTCTTCTCAAATTGTGATATTAAATAGGTTATATCTCGCCATTTATTTGAAGAAGAACATGTCGCTCTTAAAGGTCTTTGTTCCTATTACCTCATCTTGAAGGTTGTAATAATCACAATGTCTCGTCCAATAAGATAGCAAATGATGGCTCTTAAGTTGGATCTATTGGCTAATGATTCTCCATCTCTTTAATGCTACAATTAAACAAAAATTACAAATAAAGATAGAAGGTAGAATGTAATCTTTCTTAAATTTTGTTTCTTTTATAACAAAGAATTGCTATCCTTCATCTTGGTTTTGATGAATGTTATTGATGAAAAGCTTTGACCTTCTCTATTATATTTGTGAGATTTTTTTTTTGGCTTCTATATATATTTATTAATATTATATCTATGCCAATAAATAAGATATTTTAACCTAAAACAGTGCCATCTCAAGTCTAAGACTTCTTCAACCTTAAATTTTTGATTATATTCTACTTATAAAAGAGGCGATGGTATTTTTTTTCTTTTGAAGATATTCATTATCTTGTATGGCTCCAAAAGAAATATGGGATAGATTTTCATAGACTCCAGTAGATATAATCAATAAGTGACTAAATTGACTTATTTACAAATAAAATATGGTTCAATTTTATGTTAATCCAACTTATCACAAGGACAAATAGTTTTAATATTATAACAAAGTAACCATACTTTATCACTAACGTGAAAATGAGGTTGTTACATGCAATAGATATCTACATTATTCTTTAATTGTTTTTGAATTTTTTTTAGTCATATCTTCATTGTTGTATATAGCTCAATGTCAAGGACATAAACTTCAAAGAACTAAAATGTCAATACACTCATGTGCCACTTAAAAAGAGTAAAAAGTCATTCAAAGATTATATAGTATTAAAATAGAATGACTATCACCAAAGATAAGAAGACTAAGAAGTTTTGAACTAGACTAAA